AGAGTCTCAAAAGAGAACCGCTTATCCTTCTTCAAATTACTCATGTCCATTCTTACGCTGCTGGGCAGGCGCTCTGTGGTTCAGATTAAATGTCAGATGCTGTAGTCACATCACCGCTGCCTCTGGCTACCACCACACTGCTGGTGAGGGGGTGGGGGAGCTGCACTACTCCTGAGCTTCTGCTCTGCCGCTGAGTCTTGCCGGCCTCTGCTGCCAGCTCCCTCCATGCTATCCAGGCCTGCAGGGTTCTCTTGCCATCACACTGCCCAGCTGGGGGTGGGAAAGCGAGGGGGGAGACCATGGCTAGAAAGGCCATATAAACGCAATTCAGTGCACCACAATGTCCCTGTAGGACAAATGCAAGAATTCCATCTATTTTTATACAAATGCATTAATCAAATCTCTGGTTTGGGCTGTTTAATCACATTTCTCCATCTTTTCCACAAGGCTATCATTAGAGAACTGGTCAATTCTAATGGCTGTGTTGAGACTAGACTAAGATTGCAGTGCCAACTGTGAGCACCAACTATATGCCAGGCACCATTCTGGTGGATACAGCGCTGAATAAAAGTAATAAAAATATCTGTACTCTTGGAGCTGACGTTCCAGTGGAACGACATTCTAGTAGCACCTATTTTCTAGCCTCTTCTATAATCTTTAATTTATTGTGCTTATTAGCCTTTCCTAGAGGATTTTCATAAGTCAGGCTACACTTAAAAGCCCATGCTGCTTCTTTATATTTGTCCTTGGTACCTGTACCTCCTTTTAGTTTTATATATGCCCCTTTTAAAATTCTGAGCCCAACAAACTGTTCTGAGATGGAGAGATTTATTTCTTTGGATGCCTCCCCATCTGCATACTATTCATGACCACAGGTAGGAACATGGTTCTTCCACTTATTGGCTGTTATTGAGCAAATTACTCAACCTCTTGTAGGCTGCTTTCCCATCTATAAAGTATGAATAATCCCATGTACTGCAAAGCATTGTTGTGAAGAGAAATTGAGCTAATGACGTAAAACACTAAGCAAAGCGCCCAGCACATAGGAAGCCCTCAGCACTTATTTATACAAGGCCTAATCCTCTTGCTCTGTGCTCCCATTGAGAGTTTCTAACCATGCCATCAAATCTACCAGTGATAGTCAACTGAGTAAGCATCATATTAGCATGTAGGCCTAATATAATTATTAGTAATATAGCTCTATTAATGATAAGTATATATTGAGGATTTACTGTGTCCATAGCACTGTACTAGTAACACCAACAATACAGAAAAAAATCTATGCAAAGGGAAAACTTTATATTAAAAGATACAAATGACACTTCAGCTAAAAAATAAAACTTGAGAAACAAGGTGTTCCTCTCATACATTTTCATACCACAATCTTGGGCAATCTTCCGTTTTCAGGATGCAGATTAACACTCCCACCCTCCAAAAAAAACCTTTTGCCTTGGAGTGGATTCCGACTCATAGCGACCCTGTGAGATTAACCCAAATACAATTAAAAATCCAAAATCCACTTAAAAAGGAATTTCCCTTAAAAGGGTTTTTAAAGAGAGAAAAATCCTAAAGGGCTATGTGCAATAAAATATTAAACAATGTTTTACACAGATAGACAACAATTTTCTGTAGATCTGATTCTCTAACTATTTTTTAGGCTGAGATGGGAGGAACTGGTCTCTATAATATCATGACTGATTTCTTGTTTTCTGTATATTATTTATTTGAGTTATTTAGGTGAATTACCTGTAAGGGGTGGAGCCCAGGTGGTGCAGTGGTAAAGAGCTTGGCTGCTAACCAAAAGATCGACGGTTCAAATCCACCAGGCACTCCTTGGAAACCCTATCGGGCGGTTCTACTCGTGTCCTATAGGGTCGCTATGAGTCAGAATTGACTTGACGGCAATGGTATTTGTAAGGGAGATTTTGTTAAACATTTTCAAAACAATAAAAACTCTGTGCTTAAAATACCACCCAAAATATAAGCAACCTCATCCATAAAATAAAATCATTAGAGGTAATCATTATGAGGGGAGTAAATGATAAAAACGTAATTTAAAAACAAAACAAACTTGTTGCCGTCAAGTCAATTCCAACTCATAGCGACCCCATACGATAGAGTACAACTACCCCACACGGTTTCCAAGGAGCACCTGGTGGATTCGACCTGCCAACGTTTTTTTTTTTCAATCTCTTTTTTTTGTTGCTGTACTTTAGATGAAGGTTTACAGAACAAACTAGTTTCTCATTAAACAGTTAGTACATACATTGTTTTATGACATCAGTATGAGGCCCCCTGTCTCTCTGCTCGCTTCTCTCTTTTATATCTCAAAAGAGATTGACTCGAGATACACTCTAATCTTGTAGATTGAGTCCTGCTTCATTAACATAACTGCCTCTTATCCTGCCTCACTAACATCATAGCGGTTAGGATTTACCACACATAGGATAACCACATCAGATCACAAAATGGTGGACTGCCACACAATACTGGGAATCATGGCCTAGCCAAGTGGACACATATTTTGGGGGGACACAGTTCAATCCATAACAGCCTGCTTTTCTGCTATATTGGTAAAGTTGAGCACATGCGACAGAGATCATTTCAAGCCTAAAGTATTTACTATCTGGTCTTTTACAGACAAAGTTTGCTGACCCCTGCTTTAAAATATGCAATTCTCCGGCCAAAAGAGAGGACAATCCCAAAATAAAGTACTCTTTACTAATGTCCAAAGCCAAATCAAATTGAAGGACTAGGAGTGTAGGCATAATATTCAAGCTTTATTATCATAAAAAGACTTCAATAAACTCTCTGATATTAATAATTAGAGTTATTATTTGTTGTGTTGTGTTCTTACCATGTTCCAGGCATTCTGACAGCCATTTTATATACATCATTTCTAGTTTTCACATCACAAGAACCTTACGAGGTAACTATTGGATATATTCATTTTACAGACAAGAAGCTGGGACCAAGAGAACCTACTGAAGACCACATAGATCTATCCAGCTCCAAAGTCTGTATTCCATGTGTCTACTAGGTATTTTAAGGAAAGTTCATCAGGAACATCTTCCATAAGCAATGCTAAGCATGAATTGATGCCACAAAAATCTCTGAGGTGCTTCTGCACCCTGCATTAAGAAAATGTTATCTAAAAAAGTACTTCTGAAGACTTCTGGTTAAAAATGGAGGAGTACAGGCATTTCTGCTCTACTCTTCCCTAAAACCAATGGAAAACAAGAAACAAAAAAACACAATAAACAGAAACAAGACACAACCCCATGCCATAGTCAATGAAGACAAGGCACTAAAACTTGCAGTGAAACTTGATTTACATCTAGGGAAAACATTAAGAGCGGACACTTTTATAGAAAAAGTCAAGTGAAAAGGACCTTAGGAAAAGTACAAAAAAATTCCTAAGAGAGTTTGGAGTAGAAAAACAAACAAACAAATTTTGGCTGATAAGGACAGGAGTTGGGTAGAAAAGTCACAAGAGATTGAGTCAATGAGTTGCCCCCAAAATAGAGTAGAATTCATCACATAGGCATTGGATGAGCATTCCAGGAAGTGAGGAGAATGAACAAGGATGCAGAGCTGAGAGGTTGAAGAGCAAAGAAACTGTTGTCAAATGGTCCATGATTTGCTTACCTGCTATTTTGTTTTTCTTCAAGTCAAATCTTTGCAGAGACAGAGCTCATTTTCCCTATGATCTAGCCAACTGAGCTTATCAGTTCACAAAGCTTGCTTAAACTGACACAAATGCCATTGAAACCCCATAAAAAAATAAAATAAAGAGCTGATCTTATCAGTACATCATAATCTCCTTCCATATTCAGGTCTTCCAAATTTTCTCTCTCCTTAAACCCTCAATTCCTGCTCCTTTCAGCAGATATCTTGCTGTACTTTATGCACTTTATTGAGGTACAATTTGTACGTAGTAAGAAGCACAAATGCTCCATTAATTCTGATAAATGTACACACATGAAACCATCATTCAGATAGGGATACAGAACACTTGAATCACCCTAGAAGGTCTCTTCATGCCCCAGACAATATATTCCATGAGATATCAACTATTCTGATATTTATCAACATAGATTAATTTTGTCCATTCTAGAGCTTCATACAAGAGCCCTGGTGGTGCAGTGGTTAAGCGCTCAGCTGCTAACTGAAAAGTAGGTGGTTCAAACCCACCAGCTACTCCTTGGGAGAAAGATGTGGCAGTCTTCGTCTGCAAAGATTACAGCCTTGGAGACCCTATGGGGCAGTTCTACTGTGTCCTATAGGGTTGCTATGAGTCAGAATAGATTTGACGGCAATGGATTTGATTTTTTGGTTTTTAGGGCTTCATATAACTGGAATCATTCAGTGTGTACACTTTTGTGTCTGACTTATTTAACTTAACATAAATAAAATGTTGAGCAATTTAAAATTAAGAATACAATTCATGTTGCTGTATGTATCAGTAGCTTGTTCTTTTTTATTGCAGAATAGTATTCTGTTGTAAAGACATAACATCAATTATTTACCTATTTTTCTCTTGATGGATCTTTGGGTTGTTTCTAGGTTTGGGCTATTATGAATAAAGCTAATAGGAATATCTTTGTGAGTCATTTTGTGAACATCTGCATTCATTTTCCTTGAGTGCATACCTAGGAGTGGCACTGCTGGGTGATGTTTAACTTTATTAGAAACTGAAAAACAGGTTTCCAAAACTGTTGTACTTTCTTTAAACATTCCACATACAACTTTCTCAGCTATGCATCCTTGTTAATTCTCCTCTCACTTCCTGGAATGCCCTTCCAATGCTTATATATTGAATTCTGCTATCTTTCTTAATGCAATTCTTTGGCCTCACCTTTCATGAAGATTTCGTACCCCAACTCCTGTCCTAATCAGCCAAAATTCCTTTCTTTCTACTCTATTCTCTCTTAGCATGTTTTAGTAGTTCTCTTAGGGCCTTTCTCAATCAGTTTTTTCTATATTACATGCCATGACAGAAAGACTGCTGTGCACCATTGCATCCCTCACCCTGACCCAGAGACGATGCCAAGCATACAACAGGTACAGAATAAAGATCTGTTGACTGAATGGTTGGTTTCATTTATTCATTGATTATAAGATCATAACTTATTAAAATTATAAATTCATAAGATTATAAGCACCTTGACGGCAGAAAGCAGGATTCACTATTTTCTATAATACCCTGAGTCTCCTGCACTAAAATACTTAGTTGAATGAATATATGATGTGTGCTTATAGTAGTCAATTTATTAAAAATACATTAAAATTATAATTAAATTTAAAGGATATGTAAAATAATCAGTGGATTTAAGTTTTATCCCATGGTTCTAGTAATCTGACTTTTCATTTGATTGAAAAGCTGCCTTTATATACATACATATGTGTATAATATAAGATGAAATCCTTATTTCAAATCAAAGCTAATTTCATATAATGTTGTAATATGTATGAACGCAAATGTAGTCATGGAGATTTTTAAATACTAATCAAGAGCACTTAAGCATTTGGTTGTTTCAACTGATTCTCATTTGATAGGAAATTAAATTTTTTGAAAAGGTTGTTGTATCACAACTCAATTATTTCTTAGGATATAGTTGTATTAATGTTCCTAATTTTAAATTGTCAGGCATTGTATTAAATGACAACAATAAAATTAATATATAATTGGGGAAAACGTCTTAACTTTTAAAATACGTCTTTCAAGATAATCTTACAAGGATTATTTAAACTCATTAAAATACTATTTTAGAGTGAAGAAGGAAAAAAATAAAACTTTCTGAAACGTTGCTCCATTATCAAAATGTCTATTCACCGCCTGAACTTGGGAGGATACCTCAAGATTCTGCTAGATAAATCTAGTTATTAGATGTCTTGTGATATTTTATCTACTATTCCAACACTGGGCTCTTACGAGGAATGTCATAGCACAAAATGCATTTTATTGTCAGTGGAAATTTAAGAGGAACTATGGACATGACATTGAATTCCAATATTTTATTTGACTAGTCTGAAGTTACAGAAAATAAAGAGTTAGGAGTTGAATTTTCAAGTAGAAAAGGAAAGAAAGAGAAAGAGAAAGAAAACTTTACGAAAGCAATACAGAGAAATTTTGCTTGGTAAGAGAAAAAATGCAAAAATTAGATAACTATAACTTCATGATAGTTACAATAAAAATAATGTCTAAAAAAACAGAAAATGATTATTTTAGTAAAGATTGCTTGGGACAGACTATGTGCTTGGTCTGATGCTTTAAAAAGTATATTTTTATCATTTACACTAGAGGCCTACAAACTTTCTGTGTAAAGGTTCAGATAGTAAATATGTTTTGCTTTACAGGCCATAGAACCTCTGTTGCAACTATTCAACTTTGCCTTTATAGCTCAAAAGCAGCCATAAACAATATGTAACTGTTATGGATTGAATTATGTCCCCCCAGATATGTGTATCAACTTGGCTACATCACGATTCCCAGTATTGTGTGGTTGTCCACCATTTTGTCATCTGATGTGATTACCCTATGTGTTGTAACTCCTAACTTCTATGATGTCAATAAGGCAGGATTAGAGGCAGTTATGTTAATGAGACAGGATTCAATCTACAAGATTAGGTTGTATCTTGAGTCAATCTCTTTTTGAGATATAAAAGAATCAAGCAGAGAGACAAGGGGACCTCATACCCCAAGAAAGAAGCACCAGGAGCAGAGCACATCCTGTGGACCTGGGGTCCCTGCACTGAGAAGCTCCTAGACCAGGGGGATTGATGACAAGAAACTTCCTCCACAACTGACAGAAAGAGAAAGCCTTCTCCAGGATCTGGTGCCCTGAATTCAGAGTTCTAGCCTCCTAGACTTCGAGAGAATCAACTTCTGTTTGTTAAAGCCATCACCTTGCAGTATTTCTGTTATAGAAGCACTAGATAACTAAGACAGGATTTGGTACTGAGAGTAGGGTGCTGCTCTAACAGATACCTAAAATGTGGAAGCACTTTTGAAATTGTGAATAGGTAGAGGCTGGAAGAGTTTTAAGATGCCTTGAAAAGACTGTTGGTGGAATCATGGACTTCGAAGATAATTCTGGTGAGGGCTCAGAAGGAAGTGAGCAAATCTATAACACCAGAGATGGTGCACATGGTGAGAAGCAGCAGCAGTGAAACAGCAACAGCAGAACCAGGAGACCAGCGCGAGACAGCTTGGGAGCCAACCCACAGAGCAAGAGAGCTGAGTGTCTTTGTGCAGTAGGCTTCCTGGCGGAGTGGGGTGCCTCTAGGCACTTATCAGTAGAGCTAAAGACCTTTGTAATGCTTGCCCAAGCAGGGTAGATGCCAGGCCAGCCCAAGGGCCTGAGGGGCCTAGAGACCAGGGAACCAGAAAGCAGAGCTGCCTCAATCGCAAGGGTTAGGGCCATGACCTCTGAGTTCTCAAAGGGTGGAGTCATAGCTTCTGGGGTTTCAAAGGGCAGGGCCACAGCCTCCTAGGTGTCAAAGTCAGATCTTCACCAACTCAATTCTGGAGTGTGGGGCTGCCATTCACGAATGTCAGGGGGATGGGACCAGATCCGCTACCCAAAGCTGAAGGGGCAGACTGCCAACCCCAAGGGGCAGAAGAATGGGGCCTGCCGGGGTTGAGGGGGTAAGGTCACTACTCAGCTGGCCCAGAAGAATGGGGCCACCCAAATCTGAGGGAGCAGAGTTGCTGTCCCAGTGGACCTGGAAGGCAGAGCTGAAGCCTCGGGCCAAGGGGTTTCCATCCAGAATCTGGAGAGTTTGGCTAAGACCCACAGTCTGGAGGGCAGGACCATTGCCTAAATGGTTTCAGAGAACACAGAATAATTTTCAAGCCTTGAGAGCTAATGTAATGTGTTCTGCTGGGTTTTGGACTTGCTTGGTACCTGTTATCCCTTCTTTCCCTCCAATTTCTCCCATTTGTAATGGAAATGTCTCCACTGTGCCGATTCCACCATTGTACTTTGGAAGCAGATAACATGTATTCTAGATTTCACAGATGAAGAGAAATTTTGTCCCAGGATGTAATTTGCACTTAGAGTTGATTTAAGACTTTGGGAATGATATGATGGGGTGAATGTGTTTCACATGTGGCAAGGATATGAATTTTTGAAGGCCAAAGGGTAGAATGTTATGGATTGAATTGTGTCCCCCCAAAATGTGTGTCAACTTGGCTAGGCCAGGATTCCAACTATTGTGTGGTTGTCCACTGTTTTGTGATCTGATGTGTTATCCTATGTATTGTAAATCCTAACCTCTATGATGTTAATGAGGCAGGATTAGAGGCAGTTAAATTAACGAGGCAGCACTCAATCTACAGGATTAGGTTGTATCTTGAGTCAAATCTCTTGTGAGATATAAAAGAGAGAATCGAACAGAGAGGAGGGGGAGCTTATACCACCAAGAAAGAACCTCCAGGAGTGGAGTATGTCCTTTGGACCTGGGGTCCCTGCACTGACAAGCTCCTAGACCAGGGGAAGATTAATGATAAGAACCTTCCCCCAGAGTCAACAGGAAAAAATCTTCCCCTGGAGCTGGCATCCTGAATTCGGACTTCTAGACTCCTAAACTGTAAGAGAATAAATTTCTCTTTGTTAAAGCCATTGACTTGTGGTATTTCTGTTATAGCAGCACTGAGTAACTAAAAGAGTAACCAAACGGGCATGGCTGAGTTTCAGTAAAACTTTATTTACAAAAATAGGTGGCAGGTTATATTTGGCCTACAATCTGTTGTTTGCCAACCCCTAATTTATACAATAAAAGAAAACTAAAATCCAATAGAATTTTTCTCTTTAGCTTGAAACAAATTCTGTCTGCTTTGGCGGTGTACAACTTCTTAACAATACAAAGTCTACATATACATCATTTGAGAGAGAAAATTTTATCTTATTTTTTTAATTTCCACATACTTTGTCAATCTAAAATCTTACCACAAAGCAAGTTCTCTTGTGACCAGCCTTTCCAAGGAGAGGTTAGCAATCACCATAGCTTAAATTAAAGCTTTGTCTATGCTATGACACTAAAAATTTCCAACCATCTGACTGGTTTTTCATCATCCAGATGATAAACTCAATATTTCAAATTTTTGTGTGAATATGTTGGCAACCCCTAGACAATTCTATAAATGTCAATTGGATCTAGTTGATTAATAGTGCTGTTCAGTTCAACTATATCCTTACTGATTTTCTGTCTGTTGGATCTATCAATTACTGAAAGATGGTGTTGAAGTCTCCAACTATAATAGTAGATTTGTATATTTCTCCTTGTAGTTTTATCAGTTGTTGCCTCACAAATTTTGATACTCTGTTAGATGCATACACATTAAGGGTTGTTTTGTCTTCTTGGAGATTTGACCCCCTTTTCATTATGTACTGGCCTTCTTTATCCCTGATCATTTTCCTGTTCTGAGTCTGCTTTGTCTGAAATTAATATAGCTACTCCCACTTTCATCTGATTAGTGTTAGCATGGTTTATCTTTTTAATCCCTTTAGTTTTGACTTATCTGTATCTTTATATTTCAACTGAATTTCTCTTAGACAAAAACTACTAAAACTCATACAATAAGAAACAGATCATCTGAATAGACCTACAACTATTAATGGAATTGAATCAATAATTAAAATTAATAATATTTCAAAAAGAAAACACCAGGCCCAGATGGTTTCACTGGCGAATTCTACACATTTAAGGAAAAAAATGATACCAGTTCTCTACAATGTCTTTCAGAAAATAGATCAGAAAGAACATGCCTTAACTCATTCTATGAAGCCAGAAAACCAGTTTCTATGGCGTTAACTCCAACTCATGGTGACCCCATGTGTGTCTGAGTGGAACTGTGCTCCATGGGATTTTCAATGGCAGCTTTTTTCAGAAGTAGATCATCAAACCTTTCTTCCAAGGCACCTCTGGGTGGACTTGAACTTCCAAACTCTTGGTCAGCAGCCAAGCACTTTAACCATTTGTACCCCCAGTGACTCCTTTATGAAGCCAGGCATTACTTTAATGCCAAAACCAAATAAAGGTATAACAAGAAAGGAAAA